TCTCACGCTACACCTGTGCTTGCTAGGCACACCTCACGCTACACCTGTGTTTGCTAGACACACCTCACGCTACACCTGTGTTTGCTAGGCACGCCTCACGCTACACCTGTGCTTGCTAGGCACACCTCACGCTACACCTGAGCTTGCTAGGTACACCTCACGCTACACCTGTGCTTGCTAGGTACACCTCACGCTACACCTGTGCTTGCTAGGCGCACCTCACGCTACACCTGTGTTTGCTAGGTACACCTCACGCTACACCTGTGCTTGCTAGGCACATCTCACGCTACACCTGTGCTTGCTAGGCACATCTCACGCTACACCTGTGCTTGCTAGGTGTAGCACAGGTGTAGCGAACGACCTCGGGGGCGAGAACGACCCCGCTGCGTTTGGAAGCTCGTAAACAGTTTAATTAATGCAGACTAAGCCGCCATAATCGAGGAAAGATGTACAGCTTTCGTAGGTGGAAACGCAACCCTGAGTGCTCTTAAAGTGAGGGCGATGGTGAACTGTACGTTAATAACGAAGCCTCCCACACCTGCTGCGGTGAAGGGAGGTTCCCACACCTGCTGTGGTGAAGGGAGGTTCCCACACCTGCTGTGGTGAAGGGAGGTTCCCACACCTGCTGTGGTGAAGAAAAGTTCCCACACCTGCTGTGGTGAAGGGATGTTCCCACACCTGCTGTGGTGAAGGGAGGTTCCCACACCTGCTGTGGTGAAGAAAAGTTCCCACCAACAGTGGTGAAGAGAATCCCACACCTACAATGGTGAAGAGAATCCCACACCTGCCGTGGTGAAGAGAATCCCACACCTGCCGTGGTGAAGAGAAGTTCCCACACCTGCCGTAGTGAAGAGAATCCCACACCGGCCGTAGCGAAGAGAAGTTCCCACACCTGTCGTGGTGGGGAAAAGGAAGTTCCCCCTCACCTGTAATGAATGGGTAAGTGGGTGGTGTTCCCAGTGGTCAAGTAATTAACCTTCGCCACTCTCTCGGGGAAATGTGTTCTGAGCGGTTTACTGACCTGTTCCCAAGACTTTACTGCCTCATTCTTGCTTCACAAAATCCCCTTCTCTCCCCCCCTCCCCCCCGCCCCCCGCCGTACCAAGACCCAACTGTAAAAACAAATTCATTCTTGGCGAGGCAAAATTATCTAAGTACAAGGATACCATATACGCTGTGTCTGTTGTTGATTCGATAACCATTAGACATTTTTAAGACATTTGTGTAGCTGTCTTGGAGTAGCCATAGTGTTCGGAGGAGCCAGATAGATAACATCGTAAAGGGCAAAGTTCTCTGTCTTCAGGAGGCAAACAACGTCGATGGAGTCTATCTATACGACTTCTGGCTCGGGGGACCAAACAGCCGAAGCTCAACCCCCTGCAAGCATAACTAGGTGAGTACATGAAACACAACGTCAATGGACTCGATCTACACGAAACACAACGTCAATGGACTCGATCTACACGAAACACAACGTCAATGGACTCGATCTACACGAAACACAACGTCAATGGACTCGATCTACACGAAACACAACGTCAATGGACTCGATCTACACGAAACACAACGTCAATGGACTCGATCTACACGAAACACAACGTCAATGGACTCGATCTACACGAAACACAACGTCAATGGACTCGATCTACACGAAACACAACGTCAATGAACTCGATCTACATGAAACACAACGTCAATGAACTCGATCTACACGAAACACAACGTCAATGGACTCGATCTACACGAAACACAACGTCAATGGACTCGATCTACACGAAACACAACGTCAATGGACTCGATCTACACGAAACACAACGTCAATGGACTCGATCTACAAGAACCACAAACATCGCTGGCCAAGAGGGCTCTTCCCGGCCTGGTTTAGTAATAACACTCCACGTGTGGGTTGATACATGAGGCGGCCGCAGGCCCCACATATCCATCGCTCGACCCGTGAACACACTGACGAAGTACTCCATTCCTCACCCCACTACACATCCCTACTGCCTGCAGTTTGTCTCTTGAGGATAACTCACTACCGGAACCCTGCTCGCAGTAATCACTCACGCTAATCATCAGTCCCCCGACGCTTTCCAGAGCACCACCACTTGGCAATCTTGACACTTACGGAGAATAACTAACAATAACTTGGCTGAAACAAATCATTCACCCACTCATATGAGAGAGTGTCCAGGACTTGATAAGGGCCCAGGACTTGATAAGGGCCCAGGACTTGATAAGTGCCCTTATCATGTCCTGATAAGGACCTTATCACACAGGAGAAATCACAAACGTTCAAGGAGGTGCAGGAAGCACTATAGTGTTTATGTACCGTGAATCTATGAAGCACAGTGGACTATGTACACAGTCAGAACAAAGCCTCCACCAAACACTGCGATACAGTAAACCAAAATTAGGCTGGCCCAAAATTTCGGCTTTCACCTATGGCAGGCAGTGAACCACCATACCATCAACACTCCATTTGTAAACGCCTTGAAAAAATATCTATGACCCATTCCTCAACATAATATTTGTATTGGACAATTTAACAATGTTTTACAAGGATCTTTATATCGATTTCGTTCACTTCAGACACAATAAGACCTCCTCGAAGGTGCCCGTCTTCATAAATATTGTCCATATAATCGGTTATCACGTCGCCACCCAAATGTTAATTAGGGAAAACAATTAGCACATCATTAACAGGTGATTAACTGTTAGACGGCAGGATGTACCTTATTTCTCCGTATACACAAACACAGAGTTCACTTTTATCATGCACTATGTTCAGGCCTAAGGTATACCTGCTGGCAGGTCAACAAGTATTTGTGGGGCTTTAATAATCTGCCAGAGGTCAACAGCCATCAATCCCAACATCAAACCAAACATTTTACCTGTCTGTGAACAGTGTTTCCCTCGCCTTCTGTGGTTATATAACACCAGTTTAAACTGTTTCATCCACCTTCTGCAAATATATATAAATGCTAACAGACACAAAAAACCTAACCAAACCTGTACTAGGTTTGGTCAGTACTATAACTAAAATTTATATTCTACTATATTATATTAAATAAATAAATAAATAAATAAATAAATGTTTGTTTAGGTAAGGTACATACATACAAGAAATTTTTACAAAGATTGGTTGACTTATAGGTAGAGCTAGTACATACAATGCCTAAAGCCACTATTACGCAAAGCGTTTCGGGCATACCGAAATATTCTAATATTATATTCACATACTCTAAATATACTCAAATTTATTCAAAAGCGTTATTACTAGTATGCGTGAAAACGCCATTTTCGGTTTCTCAATATATTCAGGTAGATTTTCGGAAACATTTTTGTGGTGGGCGTCAACTTGGACAAGTACAGCCTGAGGATGGGGGTACTTACAGTGTGCCGCTGTTACAGCATGATGGCAGACAGGAAGGATCTAATGACTATAGGCATACACTATTATAGTTTTGGAAAGTATGAGTGTGGTCTTGACCACCAGAGGGACCAGACGTGTTTCTGGGTCGTTCCTGGCTGTAGTTTTCCAAGCAAAGTCGTTATGGCTTGTTGGCTTCTACCTGCATCCGCCCGCCCACCCTCTGACACATTCCTGGTCGACACGGCTGAGGACGCCACATTCTGGGCTCTTAAACACCTCTATTTCGGCGGACGGCGTCCGTTGGACGGAAATTTAATTGCCATCTTGAGTATGACATTGTCAGCACAACGGTCTTTGATTTGTTTCGAATCAAGGTATAGGAATTGGTTAGTTTTCCAACCCGTCTTCGACGCAAGTCCATTATATCCCAGCCCGTCCTCCAAACGAAGACCCAAAAGTGATTCCATCCACCCGCCAAACCCCCCAGCTGTTTATGAATGAAAAACGGGTTTCACACGACTCACAACTGCTGATGTTCAAACACTTCCGGATCAATTCATTGACGAATTTAGTTCGAACCACAACGCTATAAATGTTTCACCCACGTACTACAAATACAAATAATCGCCAACAGAACCTAAACACCTAACCTAACCAATGCCTAAATATGGACAATATGCTACGCCTCACTATATACAGAAATTTAATATATAATAATATTTATATGTAAAAGAGAACAAGCCTATTCTTTAATTCACTTTACGAAAAAAATTGATCAATGCGTATTGGGGGATGGCCACAGCCTTAACGAGCCTAGACTGAAGACGTGATGGGGAAACTTGCAAAATGTGTCATTTTCGGAATATGTGAGAAAGTAAGATGATCACTTTGTCAAGTTGCCTAGTGGGAAAGGTTCGGCGCAAGTGATTGATATAAGCAAGTCTTTTTCGTATGTTGATAAGCCATATGAAATGTTGAATGGGCCTATTGTTAACATACTTGAACACTAAGGAAAAGTCAACAGTGTTCATCTTGAATAAGCAAAGTCCAGCAAAAGGACTCAAATTGGCAAAATGGACTCCAGCAAAATGGTATTTTCCCGAAATATTCCTTCATCGGTATCAGTAGCGGGTCACATAGTTAACTTGATCTACACAGCACAGCTTTTCTTAAAGTGTGCGAGTATGAGGTCACTTTGCTGCCGTCTGCCAAGTGGAAGCGGAAGAGCGAAATGAACATTTTCGTGACTGATTGATTTCTCTCCGTTACGTGATCCGGCCGTCCTCAGGTCCGGCCCGTCCTCAGGTCCGGCCCGTCCTAAGGTCCGGCCCGTCCTCAGGTCCGGCCCGTCCTAAGGTCCGGCCCGTCCTCAGGTCCGGCCCGTCCTAAGGTCCGGCCCGTCCTCAGGTCCGGCCACCACTACAAGGCTGTGTGGACCACACTTACTAGTACTCTGGGAGTGAAGCCACTATGGTGGAGTTTCCCAGGGCGAGTGTTGAAGTACAGGACGTGCTGGTGAGGCAGTCCAGGATGGTGAAGTGAGGCAGTTCAGGACACTGCACATGTGGAGGCCCACGATGCAGACACTGCACATGTGGAGGCTCACGACGCAGACACTGCACGTATGGAGACCCACGACGCAGACACTGCATGTATGGAGACCCACGACGCAGACACTGCACATGTGGAGGCTCACGACGCAGACACTGCACGTATGGAGACCCACGATGCAGACACTGCACATGTGGAGGCTCACGACGCAGACACTGCACGTATGGAGACCCACGACGCAGACACTGCACGTATGGAGACCCACGACGCAGACACTGCACATGTGGAGGCCCACGATGCACACACTGCACATGTGGAGGCTCACGACGCAGACACTGCACGTATGGAGGCCCACGATGCACACACTGCACATGTGGAGGCCCACGACGCACACACTGCACATGTGGAGGCTCACGACGCAGACACTGCACATGTGGAGGCCCACGATGCACACACTGCACATGTGGAGGCCCACGACGCAGACACTGCACGTATGGAGACCCACGACGCAGACACTGCACATGTGGAAGCCCACGACGCAGACACTGCACGTATGGAGACCCACGACGCAGACACTGCACATGTGGAAGCCCACGACGCAGACACTGCACATGTTTTGACCCACAACGCAGACACTGCAGGTGTTGTGAGCCCAGCAACCGAGAGTGTCGAGTCAGCAGGACTAGGTGACGACGCAACATGTTGTCGATCGCCCTCACGACGTCAAGGAAGAACACATGGACGACGCTGGAACTGTTTGGCTCCTGCCTGTGACCACCACGCCCCCACACCCAGGGCCTGGTGGCCGTCGGGTCAACACTGCAGGCGTCACCATCAGTCACGCCCGGGACACGTCCTAACGTGACTTAGAAACTTACACAGACCATTTCATTTTAAACTTGTGAACAACAGAGACACTAAATAAAATATCTTAACACAAAAAATTAGCCTGTGATTGAGGTGGGCGTGCATGGTGATTGATGTAGGTGTGCATGGTGATTGTTGTGGGTTTGTATGGTGATTGATGTAGGTGTGCATGGTGATTGTTGTGGGTTTGTATGGTGATTGATGTAGGTGTGCATGGTGATTGTTGTGGGTTTGTATGGTGATTGATGTAGGTGTGCATGGTGATTGTTGTGGGTTTGTATGGTGATTGATGTAGGTGTGCATGGTGATTGTTGTGGGTTTGTATGGTGATTGATGTGGGCGTGCATGGTGATTGAGATGGGCGTGCATGGTGATTGATGTGGGCGTGCATGGTGATTGATGTGGGCGTGCATGGTGATTGAGATGGGCGTGCATGGTGATTGAGATGGGCGTGCATGGTGATTGAGATGGGCGTGCATGGTGATTGAGATGGGCGTGCATGGTTGCAAGGAGTCAACGAGAGAGCTGGCTACCATGGGCGAGCAGTGATACCAACCCTTCATAACGTGGAAAACAATATCGCGTTGAGGGACGTTCAATAACACGACCTGTGTAGAGCAGTTAGAGAGAATATTAGAATTAGAATTACAAAAGAGACTGGTGAGTTCTCTGGCCTCAGGGGAGGGCGGGGGGGGGGGGGATAACAGCCCCACGGACCTACAAACAGGCAAAAGACCTGTTAATAACGAGTGTGATTCTGGATTAAGTGTAATTTCGTCTTTTCCTGTCTGCTGAATGTAAGAGTTTTGGTGAGGTGTGTATTCTGTGTACTTGCCTCTGTTACACATGGTGTAGATGTCTGCGGGTGTACTTGTGTTTCTATATAAGAGAGGGCGTCAATATGCGTGACTAAAGGGGAGGCAGTAGGAGGTGGTGATGTTGTATAAAGGGAACCCTACGAGGCTGGTTGGTGGGTTGTGGTTGAGTGGAAACACTGTCATCCTCTGTGCCGCCTCTCTCTGCTGCTTGGTCTATTATGTTTAGTCAGTTTCTTGTGCCACAGGTCTTTCTCTGCTCTATACTGTGCTTTGTTCACTATATTTTCCTGTTCTACAGGTTCAGTTATTTTGCTGTTAATTGTGTGTTTGTTGTTAATAATGTTTAGCTTTCTACAGGTAATTTTTTTTTTTTAATTTTGCCCCGAGGGGCGAGTTTATTGGGCAGCGCCACTCATCCTGAGTGGATACACCGCCATAGTGACAGTATTGGGCAGCGCCACTCATCCTGTGAGTGGACACACCGCCATAGTGACAGTATTGGGCAGCGCCACTCATCCTGTGAGTGGACACACCGCCATAGTGACAGTATTGGGCAGCGCCACTCATCTTATGAGTGGACACACCGCCATAGTGACAGAATTGGGCAGCGCCACTCATCTAGTGAGTGGACACATCGCCATAGTGACAGTATTGGGCAGCGCCACTCATCTTGTGAGTGGACACACCGCCATAGTGACAGTATTGGGCAGCGCCTCTCATCCTGTGAGTGGACACACCGCCATAGTGACAGTATTGGGCAGCGCCACTCATCTTGTGAGTGGAAACACCGCCATAGTGACAGTATTGGGCAGCGCCACTCATCCTGTGAGTAGACACACCGCCATAGTGACAGTATTGGGCAGCGCCACTCATCTTATGAGTGGACACACCGCCATAGTGACAGTATTGGGCAGCGCCACTCATCTAGTGAGTGGACACATCGCCATAGTGACAGTATTGGGCAGCGCCACTCATCTAGTGAGTGGACACACCGCCATAGTGACAGTATTGGGCAGCGCCACTCATCCTGTGAGTGGACACACCGCCATAGTGACAGTATTGTTCAGCGCCACTCATCTTGTGAGTGGACACACCGCCATAGTGACAGTATTGGGCAGCGCCACTCATCCTGTGAGTGGAAACACCGCCATAGTGACAGTATTGGGCAGCGCCACTCATCTTGTGAGTGGACACACCGCCATAGTGACAGTATTGGGCAGCGCCACTCATCCTGTGAGTGGAAACACCGCCATAGTGACAGTATTGGGCAGCGCCACTCATCTTGTGAGTAGACACACCGCCATAGTGACAGTATTGGGCAGCGCCACTCATCTTATGAGTGGACACACCGCCATAGTGACAGTATTGGGCAGCGCCACTCATCCTGTGAGTGGACACATCGCCATAGTGACAGTATTGGGCAGCGCCACTCATCTAGTGAGTGGACACACCGCCATAGTGACAGTATTGGGCAGCGCCACTCATCCTGTGAGTGGACACACCGCCATAGTGACAGTATTGGGCAGCGCCACTCATCTTGTGAGTGGACACACCGCCATAGTGACAGTATTGGGCAGCGCCACTCATCCTGTGAGTGGAAACACCGCCATAGTGACAGTATTGGGCAGCGCCACTCATCTTGTGAGTAGACACACCGCCATAGTGACAGTATTGGGCAGCGCCACTCATCTTGTGAGTGGACACACCGCCATAGTGACAGTATTGGGCAGCGCCACTCATCTTGTGAGTGGACACACCGCCATAGTGACAGTATTGGGCAGCGCCACTCATCTAGTGAGTGGACACACCGCCATAGCTGCATGTACAACACTCCCCAATAGGAAGAAAACCCGCTGGGTTGTTCATCCTGTCACTTGCACCCAGACACAGCTGGGACTTGCTTAACTGTCTCAAGTGAACAGCTCCTCAAATAAGAAGATTAACATCTGTCAACCCTTAAAAGCTTACGTTATCTTGCGGGTGCAAAATGGGGGAATCTTTTAAGAACAGCATCAATATTTGACAAATAGTGTTTTCCTAACTCAAACAATGTGGGGGTTTATTATTCTACACATACTTCTGATATCTCTCAGGTGTTCACATTCACGTAGATAGTGGTCAAGGCGGTGTCCATCACTCTCACCACAGATTCTGCAACTTCGTTGATCAACTGTTGTTTCCATTCCATATCTCCATGGATATTTGTATCCAAGACGGATTCTCGCTATTTCTGATTCTCTCCCTCGTCGTCCTCCTCTTCGTCCATAATGATTGGGATTGCCAGCTGCAACCATGTTGTACCATCGTACAGATTCACTGGTTTGTGCTTCTATCCTACTGTCCTCAGTTACCTTGTCACGGTGATGTTGCCTGACAATACCTCTAATTTGTAATAGAGTCTTGAGTATAGATGTGTGATAGCCAACGTGTTGTGTTGTTATGTAGTGTGGCTCTCTATGTTGTATTGTGTTATATGTAATATACTTCATTACTGTTCATGTTTTCTCTCGTGATTTTCATGTTTATGTTGGTAATCATCATGTTGTTTGCTGTATGTTGGAGATCTTCATGTTGTTTGATGTATGTTGGAGATCTTCATGTTGTTTGATGTATGTTGGAGATCTTCATGTTGTTTGATGTATGTTGGAGATCCTGTTGCGGTTATATGTGATCTGAGTATTGGAAATTGCGTTCAGTGTTTCTTATATTATTAGTAAATATTCTGTTCATTTAAAAATAACCAGAACAAAAATAGGTCTTTGGTTTGGGTGATTAGTTACCTGCCACAGGTAACTGAGCTCTTAATGATTTTCAGCAGGTGGTGCATCACGCCGCGCGGGGGACGAACATACAAGCTAACAAGCCTAAAACCAATACAAAAATACAAATCATTTAACTGGCCGCGAGAGAGTGTAGGTGTCGCTTCAAGTACCAAGGTTCCCACGACACTACCAAGGAGCTCCGGACTAATTTGACCCCTATGGCCTCACTCAACAACCCGTTCTCGCACTTGCTCTTAGTCAACATTGACTTATTTAATAAGTGCTATATGTGACCTACTAATTGATTGTGAATATTTTAGTTTACCTTGAAAAGCTTCATAGAAAACACCGACCTCACCTAACCTTCTTAGTATGTTAAGATAAGCATCTAATTGCTTTTTATTTACAATTATTACTTAACCTATCAACTGCATGGGTTACCACCCTTACAATCTCACCCTGCAGGGTTATCACCACCCTACAACCTCACCCTGCAGGGTTACCACCACCCTACAACCTCACCCTGCAGGGTTACCACCACCCTACAACCTCACCCTGCAGGGTTACCACCACCCCACAACCTCACCCTGCAGGATTACCAACAGCCTACAACCTCACCCTGCAGGGTTACCAACACCCTACAACCTCACCCTGCAGGATTACCAACAGCCTACAACCTCACCCTGCAGGGTTACCACCACCCCACAACCTCACCCTGCAGGATTACCAACAGCCTACAACCTCACCCTGCAGGGTTACCAACACCCTACAACCTCACCCTGCAGGATTACCAACATCCTACAACCTCAGCCTGCATGGTTACCAACACCCTACAACCTCACCCTGCAGGGTTACCACCACCCCACAACCTCACCCTGCAGGGGTACCACCACCCTACAACCTCACGCTGCAGGGTTACCACCACCCTACAACCTCACCCTGCAGGGTTACTAACAGCCTACAACCCCCCCCTCCACCAGCCTACACATAAATCAACGTGATTGGCCAAACGATACGATGTTTAATGCTTCCTTTACTGTGAATGGTCCAACAAAGATCCGAGTGCCCTCTGTCGGCCCAAACTGAACAACTACATACGATTCTCGTAAGAGGAGTCGTAACTAAAACACTTAAGATGTCAACCAGGACAGGGACTACAGCCCGAGGGTTACCACCACAACAACCAACCTTAACGCCTCTTGTACACCCGTCGATTGAAGATTGAGAGGCCGAACCACAGAGCCGAAACCCGACCCCATCGCAATTGAGTACAATTAGACGATTAATACCACCTCTACTGCTAAATATTACTAAAGATAACATAGAAGGCTGTGGCACTGTTGAGCCTGAGACAGTACTCAAGAGGCCAAGTGGCATGATTACAATGAATGAATATGTGTTTCTTCAACCCTCGAAAT